AAGTCATCAGACCCTTGATATATTAAAGATATACCCCTAAAAAACACCAGCCCCCTCTACATTTGCCTACAAGTATGCTCGAATGTTCGTGGAGGAAAGTTTTCCCTGGCAAAAGCAGGGTCCCTTGAATCTAAGACCATGCAACCACCAAATGGCAAGACCGTAACAAAAGTGTCTGGGAGGGAATGTGGACAGACAGGGTGTCCAATAGGCACAAAGCTGAATCACAGACTTATTTCAGCAAGACCAAAGAGAAAGCTACTGGAAACAAAAAGCTTTCATTAACTTGTTACATGGCTGGATTTAAGGGCAAAATTTGCAAACAGAGGTTGGAAACACACTAATACCCGTTATGCATTAGCAGAGTAGCAAGAGGGTTCGTTTTAAGTTCCAGACATTGGGATTTAAGTCAGAAAGTATTCATGGAGAGGAGAAAGAGCTATGGCACCTTCCCTGTTGCCTTCCAGCAGTTCTTTGACAGAATGTCTTTATCCTCCTGGAAAGGACTAGCAACACAATTCCTTTCCATCCCGAATATTTGTTGGACTGATTTCCCATTTCAGAAACCAAAGGAAAAGAAACAATATTATTTATTTCTAATTAATTAATATGAACTTTGATGTTAGACTCCCCTTCAAGCAACACCTTTTCTTACAAAGGCTAAGCTAAGGTTAGATAAGAAGGCATGCTTTCTAATCGATATATTTTCCAGCATACGTGTTCTTTGGCAATGATTTCCAGTTGCCTCTTTTGAGTGTGTGTGTCTCTGCGCTGATACTCGTGTATGTGTAAGCGTTCCTGTTTCAGAAAACAGAGTTGTTGGACATGGATAGGAATGTGTCTGGCATCTTTAAAAGAAAGACTCGGAAAGAGATCAGGATTTGAGTGAGTTTTGCAAGATATCCAGCTCTGACTATTTTGCGGTTAACTTTCCATTCCAAAATTGCTCATGGTGAGCTGTCCAGACCATGTCTCTTACCAAAGAATTTTTGGAATCGTGAGAAAACAATGAGTTAGCCGTTAGGAAAGATTAACCTCCCCATCTTAATCCTTCCAACTATCGCTTTACATAAAAAGAACATTCATGTCTAAATCACTGCTAAAGACTCTTGGATAAATTTCTCTCTAGCCTAATTCCACTGAAACTGTCACTGCTACATAAACTATATGGTGATTTAATGTGAGCTGGCTACAGTTATTATTGCAATAGTGTTAGAATTGCCATCTAATATTGGAGTCCTGTCAATGCTACTACACGCTGTATTTACATAGAGAAAACTTACAAGCTAAACAGACAGGACTGCAGAGAAAGGAAATATTTTTATAGTTAGGCAATGAAGACTCAAACTAAGAAGATGATTTGCCCACAAATGAATAAAGAATTTGGGAATGAACATAAAATAAACCCAGGTCTGCTAAATCCCACACCATCCCACACTATTGCTTTCCAAAGCACATTAGTGTTTAATTCACTGTGGAACGGGTAAGTTGTCTGTTCCGATTTCACCGTTGCATCCACAACCAGAACAAAATGTAACAATTCAGAATAACTGAATAAATAATTTCTCAGAGTAAGTCTGCTGGCAATCCCTTGTATCAATAGCATTTTAGGCCTTGGAGCAAAAAGGTGCTTCGTGCCTCTCTGTTACTCAAGCATTTTAATCCCTGCTGCTTTCCTAAACAGATCCTAGGCTCCTCAAAGTATTTGTAGTTCTCAGGATTCATGTTTTAAAAGTCAGAAACAAAAGCTTCTATCAAGTTGGTTGGTGGGTTGGGGTTTTTTTAACATTAGAAAGCTATCCCTGTTTGTTCAGGATCCGACCTGGTAAATACACATCCAATCATTATCAGTGCCAAACTACCTGACTGGTGACATGAAGTTGGCAATGATGACCTTGACATCTTCTATCCATATGGTTACACAAAAAATCTGTGCACTTTAACCCGTGACTGTACAAACTGTAGAGACAGCAGCTGAATCCTCATGCAAGGGAGCAATTTGGTGGCTTCAGATGTGGTGGCGAGACAGCAGCCAGCTGTGCTAGTGTATCAGCTACATATACCCACCCTGTGAAATTTGCCTGTTGATCATCAGAATGCAGCTTTCAATCAGCACATTGTGAATGGATAAAAATTGGCAAAAAAAAGTCCATCTGGCTCAGGTTTGGATTCTAGGCTCTGTTGTCAGTGCTTTGGGAGCCCAATAACACAAGGGACTAACACAGATTGCATTGAAAACATCATGGAAATGTGGATGTGTGTGATGGTCTGGATAGGGTAGTACAGAGAACATGCATGCTGTATGCCAGTGGCTCTGCAAAGGGAGCCTTTCGCTGTGGAAGCTCAACAGCTGTATCTAGTCTGGTTGCAGGTTTGCCTCTGGCACCAAGTGCTGCAGTTCTTTAGCTAGCACCAGTGGTCAGCACTACACTTGACATGAAAAACAAGCTCACAGTAGGGGGACTGACAGCTTGTGAGTGTTATGGACAGGGGTAAAGGGAGACATTTTTGGCATTCTAGAGCCTCTCCATTATAGCAGTGCACCGAATGAAATCCTGCATCAAGAAAGAAAGAAAAGAAAAAAACATCTTGTTCTGAAAAGCTGCTTTTCTAGAAGGATAACAAGCCTGTTAAAATCACCTTCGTTCTGCTCCTTTTGCCACATTTCTCCCCTAAAAGAAATGCCTGACTCTTTCACCTCTCCTTGCGTGGGGGTGACTATCAGGGTCGGATGCCTTGTTGCACAGGTGGAGATTAAGTCCCTTACTCTGCACCAAGTCTATCTGGTTGTGTAATGTGTCCAGTGCCTCATCTGCATCACACAGCAGTGTAATGCAGAATGACCTTTCAGGCACTTTGGAAGAGGTCATAAAACATCTGTACTCTTCAGTTTTAAGTGCAAGATTTGCAGTTTTGAGGGTTATCTTAGTAGGCTATTATAGAATCATAGAATCATAGAATAGTTAGGGTTGGAAAGGACCTTAAGATCATCCAGTTCCAACCCCCCTGCCATGGGCAGGGACACGTCACACCAGACCATGTCACACGAGACCTTGTTCGACCTGGTCTTGAACACAGCCAGGGATGGAGCATTCACAACTTCCCTGGACAGCCCATTCCAGTGCCTCACCACCCTCACAGTAAAGAATTTCCTTCTTATATCCAATCTAAGCTTCCCCTGTTTAAGTTTTAACCCGTTACCCCTTGTCCTATCACTACAGTCCCTAACGAAGAGTCCCTCCCCAGCATCCCTATAGGCCCCCTTCAGATACTGGAAGGCTGCTCTGAGGTCTCCACGCAGCCTTCTCTTCTCCAGGCTGAACAGCCCCAACTTTCTCAGCCTCTCTTCATACAGGAGGTGCTCCAGTCCCCTGATTATCCTTGTGGCCTCCTCTGGACTTGTTCCAACAGTTCCATGTCCTTTTCATGTTGAGGACACCAGAACTGCACACAATACTCCAGGTGAGGTCTCAGGAGAGCAGAGTAGAGGGGCAGGATCACCTCCTTCGACCTGCTGGTCACGCTTCTTTTGATGCAGCCCAGGATACGGTTGGCTTTCTAGGCTGCAAGCGCACACTGAAGCCAGCTCATGTTCATTTTCTCATCAACCAACACCCCCAAGTCCTTCTCCACAGGGCTGCTCTGAATCTCTTCCCTGCCCAACCTGTAGCTGTGCCTGGGATTGCTCTGACCCAGGTGTAGGACCTTGCACTTGGCATGGTTAAACTTCATGAGGTTGGCATCAGCCCACCTCACAAGCGTGTCAAGGTCCCTCTGGATGGCATTCCTTCCCTCCAGGGTATCAACTGAAACACAGAGCTTGGTGTCATCAGCAAACTTGCTGAGGGCGCACTCAATCCCACTGTCTGTGTCACTGACAAAGATGTTAAACAAGACCGGTCCCAACACCGATCCCTGAGGGACACCACTCGTTACTGGTCTCCAGCTGGACATTGAGCCATTGACCACTCAATTCTTGTGTTCTAAGATGTACTTGTGTTCTAAGATGTTGAACACTAATGAGGGCAGTTAATGGGTATTGAAAGGGTTGAAAACTGGCTGAACAACTGGATTGGTCATTAGTGACACAAAGTCTAGATGAAGGGCAGAAAGTAGGGGTCAGGTACAGAAACAGTACCTTAGGGGCCAAAACTTTGTCCACTCCTGTTTAACTTAATGATCTGGTTGACAGGGCAACAAATGCCCTTAGCACTTTGCCAGAAGATTGTATGCTGCCATACAGAGGGACCTCAACAGGCTGGAGAAATGGTCCAGAAGGAACCTCATGAAGGTCAACAAGAAGTGCAAAATCCTGCCCTTGGAAAGGAACAACCCCAGGTGTCCATGCTTGAGCAGGGGAGTTGGATAAGATGATTTACTGAGGTCCTTTCCAACCTCAACCAATTTGTGATTTTGTGACCGGTCACTTGAAAACTCTTAAACATTTTTACAGCTGCCAAAACATGCTGTGTTGGTGCCTTGGTCCTGGTGTAAGTGTCTGGAGTCTCTTTATCTTTGAGAATATTTAAGGAAATGTAAAGCACAGCAGGGCTTACTCCTTTTTCTGATGCAAATAAAAAGCATTTCATGCACAACACTGCTCCCCATCTTCTCAAACTGCTGAGGGCTGCTTAAGCAATGCCCTTCCTAGGCGCAGAAGTAGTTTCTGTGGTATAAAGGGTACTGTCAGCATGGTTTTGCCTTCCCAGGAGCTAAAGGTGAAACCACCACCTTTGTCTTTTCAGGATGCGCTGTGTCTCCCATTTCCCTTTGCTGTAGGTGTACCTGCTTTGGGTTGCTATACTCACTGCAGAATGTCTCTAGCTGCAGAAATATCTGTTGTGACAGCAGGACGAAGGACGTGTCAGAAAGCACAGGAGATAAATGGCACAGCGTCCATGCTAATGTTCTCACTGATAATGTAGCCAGAGAGCTAAGACCCATTTACTTCACTGCTGAATAAAACAAATCAAAGAAGGCATCTTCTGTGTCAACGCAAATTAACCAGATGGGAGTTTATTTTGCTTTGTTGCTAGGTGTTTTTTACAGGAATTGAGAAAATTGATTAATATCTTGACGTCTTTGTTGGATTTCTTATTGTGTTTGGGTGCAGTGAGCAGCACTGCCTGGCCAAATGATTTCTGAGATGGTTATTGTCTGTTGGAAAAAAGCAAGAAAAGCAAAAGAAAAAGTGTGCTTAATGTTTTGGAGCTATTACCACCATCTGTGCTTCAATTACATCTTCAGGTCCCTTGGAGTGTAATGCTGGGAACCATCCTCACCCCCCAAAAGGCAAAGGGACATTAAATTGCTCCAGGAGAATGTCACTGCCAAAAAGAGAGGTGACCTCTTTTTACAAAACCGTAAATGGATCTGGTCTTTGCTCAAAGCATTAGCACCACTATTACACTTAAGGCTGAGGAGCTGTTAAATATTATAGACTTCATATATCTAGATACAGATCTATATGCACAAGCGGGTTTCAAATATAGACTGACCTACATTCGCAAACTGGAATGACTACCATTTCATCTACTGGCAGTGTTTGGGTGGAAGTACTATCATCCACCACAAGATAGATGACCTCAAGTCCACGAGAGCTGCATGGCACGTCCCTTCAAAGCCCTGGCAAGGCTAATGCTCATGCCTAGCAGAGGGCATAAATGATTTTCCTGAAAGCACTAAGGCTCCTTATCCTCCCAAAGCCAGCTCCAAAAGCCAGGAGCATTAGTTAGCAGAGATAACCAAGTGTATAAAATTTCCTTATGTAGTTGAATGGTTGATTTATTTTTATTGCTCAGAATGAACTACACATCCAGAGGAGATTAATCAGTTGTCTAAGTGAGTCCTCTGGGCATAGCCTGGGCTACTGATTCCCTCCAGCAGTTCCGCATCAAACCAACAACAATAGGCAAGGAAGTGTCAGTTATCTAACAGGCTAAAAACACTTTCCATTGTTAAGTAAAGGATTTCCTTATGATTTCCCATGCCAAATAATAAATTGTAAGTTATACAGTGTGTGCCATGACAATCCAGGACTACTGTGAAGAAGATTTATATTAAAACTGAATGACATCTTTACCATCTCCTGTTGTAGCTGGCTCAGGACTATTCCTGTTAGCTGTTAGGGTTTGGCTCTATTCTTTTTCCTTCTCTTTCTTCTTCCATTCTCAACTGGAAAAGGTGGAAAGGGAAAGGGGAATGCAGCATTTTGCATCTGGATCTGACAGCTTCCATGAGGGACAGCTCTATGGTGTGGAAGGCTCATCCTCCAGCTGACAGAGTTGTGGCACAGCCTGGTGGGATCAAGCCATTTTTTCCATTCTGCAGGAAGCAGAAACTTGTTCACTGTTTCATGAATACTGTATATGTTATTGTGAAGGGTTTAAATATTGAGGGTTTTTTCTCCCTTTTTTTCCTCAGCTGGCTAAAAATTGCAAATGCTCAGGAAAAGAAAGAGGATCGTAAGGGAACCCAATTCCCTTGGGCAAGCTGTTGTACACATGTACAGGAAATTGAATGTAGAAATTACTGCATGCAAGGCTGTTAAAGAAGTGACAGGGTTATAAAACAGATCTTTCAACTGCTACCCGTTATGGACATTCCAGTTGTAAAGGGTCACATTTTAATACAAATCTGCTGTCCCAAATTACATTTGTCTTTTTCCATAAACTAGAAGCTGACAAAGATTTACGGGAAGGTAATTTTTCTCCTTGTTATTTTAAGTCATTTATCTCCTCTCTGAATTTCCAAAGAAGAAGAAGAAAAACCTACTGGTTTGGTAGAATTTATTAGGTTGCAATGGTATAACGGCTTCTGTTCTTGGGCTGCTGAAATGTCCATGAAAACTGAGGGTCTTTTTAAACATAACCTAGCCTTCGTGAAATGGGTAGAGTGGTGCTGCAGAAATAGAACACAAAATCTGATTATGCCTGATGTGACTAATTTATGACATAAATTCTGCATCCCTGATCTGATATTCCACCATTTGCCATGTAAGATCATAGCGCACACTGAAAGTGAGATGGCTTGTTTCTAAATAACAGTGACAACGAAGCAGTTTCATATTCAGATCTTCCGTTACTACCAGGAATATTGATTATGGTTCCCTTTCTCTGCCTCTGCTTTTCTTCCACTTTTCAAGGCAACAGACAAAAAGATGTCTCAAGGCCTTCTGCAGAATTAGATTTGAGATTGCAATGTAAATAGGTAGATGTGGTACCAGTTAATTTAATTAGTTTTGAAATAAGTAAAAGAAAAACAAGCTAACAGCCCCATCAATGAAACCATATTCCAGAAGCATGCTAGTTTGTCCTAACTTTTTTTTTTCCTGAAATTCATCTGAATTTTGCTATCGGCAAATCAAAAGCTGATTTTCCAACCTTAACACCCATTCTAATCTAAATCCTTTTTTCACTTGAAGCCAGACACAAAATGTATTTTTAAACACTGCTGCTCAATTTATACCATGGCATTAAACATTTCATTTCACTGTTCTGTTTCTATTCATTATTCCTTCAAACTCTGTAAATGCACAGGACAAGTCCCCCGAGTTTTGCTTTTAAGTCAGCAAATTCAATTTTGGTGACTCTATGCAAACTTTGAAGCTCCATTGAGGCCAGTGGCTAGGAACTGCAGCTCATACTTTGTAGAGGCTTAGTCTTGATTTTGCAAAGTGCTTTTGTGTAATCAGTCAATTAGAGCTGTGACCAGTGATCCATATCAGCAATTGATAGCGAACTGCAGGATTGGTACGCTTGGAATCCAGGTTTCAGTCTTTCTGGTTAGGTTGCAATTCCTGAACACTAGCAATGCTAAAGGTGTCATGCTATTTCTTCAACTTCTTGACTACAAACACCTGTAGTGAACTCTGTATTAATTACAGAAATTCAGCATACTTTTTCTTTTAATATTTCCACTTACACTTGCACTATTAGGAAATCCTTCCCTGATGGTTTTCTGTAACATCATCTGGAAGTGGAAATAAATGCACTGACACAATTACAGTCAGCTAACAGCAACCGAATCTTGCCAATACAGCTCAAGAGTGTATTTGTTTAAACTCTGAAATAGTGCAGTTGGATTGTTTTCTCTCTTTGTACAAGTATAACTTTTAAAAGAATATTAAGGCACAGTAAATTTTGTGTTAGTGGGCACTTAAGCCACATTTAACAAGGCACTTTAGTAGCTGCAGCTCTATAAGAAAGAATAATGAAAAAAAAATCAGAGGTTAACATTATTTTATAATTTCCCCTTTCAATGACCCCTTTATATCATGTTTGCCGAGATCTTTGTTGGCATAAAATAATCACGATTGCCAACAATAAATGTTGAATGCAAATATATTCTCCAGCACTTGCAATTACACTAATAGCTTTATTTGCAATCAATAGTGACTGGCATTGCCTTTAAATACTCAAATGTGCTGAAAGTCAGTTGAAGTCAGTTTGAATTAAATCTTGCTAATTAATCTCTGAATGTAGTTTTAAGTACTTTTGAGTTTAATAATGGAGAAACCATCCCAAACTGAGCGGCTGTGCGCATGCAATGGGGAGACATGCACAGGGCTGAAGGAACTTCCAACTTGGATGCATCTCTGAGGGTAAAATAGACCAGGAAGGAAAGAAATGTGGGTATAAACCAGTCAGCAGTATTTGCTCCATAAAATGTCTGTGTTTAGCTACATTTGCGCATGGACAGTGGGTCCAAGGCACAAGGATGCTCATGAGGATGCCTGATTGCTACCAGCAGAGACCCGAGGAGGGAGGTCACTGTTCTGGGGTAGATATCTAACTAACCTGTCCAGGCATGGGGACACAAATCATGGAAGTGGCTGTCCAGAAGGAAAATGGCACCAGAAGGAGCAATGGGGGGGATGTACCTGAAACTCAGCTGTCTGCAGAAACCAAGCAGATGGGTGTGTGCAGTAGGAACTGCTTTGTGGTTGGAGAAGGGAAATCTTTGGCTTCTGCCACCAGGATTGTTTCTGCCCCTTCAGCTGACTACATCAACTGCTCTCCAAGAAGGAAACGGATCTCTCCTTGAGAACCAGATCCTGTCACCTCATCCACATACATGGCTCCCCACTCTGCTCCCAGGCAATAAACGTGAGAGTTGACTTTCCAGCATCCACCTTACAATGAGGGTGTCTCTGTGAAGGATGTACCCAGGTCTTCAGAGCCCTCCTCCTCTTCCCCACAAGCATCATGTGGTGTTGAACAAGTTCTGTGTCACCTTATGTGCCACAGGTCTGCTCTGCCCCTCTGATAACTAGTATCACATCAGCCCATCTTACTGCCTTTGCACCACATCTGGGGCACTTCGGGCACTTTGGGATTTTAGGGGCAAAAAAAATTTAAGCACGTGAACCCAAAATGAATCTGGGTTAAGTGACTGGGCTCCCTGCATGGGGAGAATGGCATTCAACACACAGACAAACCAAAATATTTTATCTGGGTATGCAGCTGCAGGAGGCAGGTAGCTTCAAGAGTCAAATGGGATGGGGTTCACCACTGTTTAGTCAAAACCTGGAAAGAAAGAGAGTCTTACTCTTTTAAAACATGGCTGAGAAGAGGTGGGTGCTGGTTTTCCATTACCCTCTCTCTTACAAAAATAGGACAGAAATCAATCTGGCAGTGAGTACCACAAGTCTGCAGAAGAAGGGCTTTTGCCCATAGGATCTTTTTGATGTTGTCTGCTTGCTTATCCTAAGCAACTTGATTTGACTTCTTTATTAAGGGTGTGGGCATGCGAGGACACCTTTTCTGGGCTCACATCCATCATCTCCTGCTCTTCTGGGACATGATGGATCTCAAGAAGGATTTGAACCCTGTGGCTCAGTTCTGAGTAAGGGACTTGACCAGATGGGGCTTAAACAGAAAAATGGCACCCTCCTGTGGCAGTGATTTAGAAAAGAGAAAATAGCTGTGACTATTAAGGGCAGGGTCTAATCCTGCCAGCATGCGCTACCCGTGTGCACACCCACCAAAGGAGATTTCACAAGGGATGAAGGTGCCCCTCTGCTTAGGTGAAAAAATAGCTATTTGAGTGGTGGGGCAATGCAGGCAGTGCACCAAAGCAGGCAAAGACCCTCCAAGGTCAGGCAAGGAGGGCTGCATTGTGTTTGGAGGCAACCGTTCAGCTGCACGGAGTCACTC